AAAAATTTGTTTAGGTTTCTTTGCTGGTTTCTACTATAAAGGGGAAAAATAATGCACCCGTACCCAAAACACCTTACAGTGTTCCTTGGTCTGAGATGTATAAATTTAGCCTGGAGAAGGAAAGGCCAAGGCAAAACATGCTTTCTTTCCTTTTCTGAATTATTTTTAGTCCTGTTTCAGGGGTCAAATCCTCTCCAGGCAGTGCACATCAGATGAAAACCTTTCAGAATAGAGGCAAAATCAGTAAGCTCGTATCCCGTAAAAGTTCGATCAAAGCATGACAGCTGTCGTCGGAGAGCAGAACGGCTGTCACACAGAAGATGGCGGGGATTCATTCTTTGCGGGTCCCTCCAAAAGAGACCGGAAGCCTCAGGTGGAAATCGCAGGGAAGTAGATTTCTGCTAAACATGATTATCCAAAGGACACAAATCCCATGCGTGGCTGTAGGACATTTTTCCGTCTGCTTAAGCAGGGATAGGATTGTGCTTTGATTGATTGATTGATTGTATTTTCATACCATGCATCAGCTCAAAGGTTCCCTGGGATTTTACAGAATCAAAATACCACAATAATTGTAAAACGGTCATTATGAAATCATCATAGAAATACAGCAATACATTAATGCATTATTACAATGTTACAGCCACTGCAGTTCAATTAATCTTAGAGGTAGAGCAAAAATATAAAACCTGGGTATAAAACTCTAATTATAATATTGGGAAAATAAAAAGGGGGTTGCCTGGCACCAAATGGGACAAAGAGTGGGTGTCGGGTGCACCTCTTGAGGGAGCTGATGCCATAGATGGGGGGCAACAACTGAGAAGACCCTTCACCTCGTAGTCCCCTCCTTGTTTCCTCAGAAGGGAGTTCTCTGAGAAAAGCTGCCACTGAGGGTCTTAAGGTTTGGGGAGGCTTATATGGAAGGAGGTGTTCCCCAGATAGCCTGGCCCCAAACCGTGCCTGGGGAGGCAGTTTTCAAGGTGGATTCCCACTGGAGCAGGAAAAGCACCCCTTCTCTTTGCATGAGCCGCAGCACTCTCAAATCTTCACCAGCATTGCCGTCGAACTTAGCAGGGGAAAATAAACTTTTCACGTGAGTTTGCAGGGATCTGGGTCAGGGCGAAAATTAACTGAAGGTTTTATGAGCTAGGCTTTGGCCGAGGCATGAGCTGGCCACCCGAGTCTCCCTCCCAGCCTTCTGATACAATTTAGGATCTGCACAAGCTGCTTCTTGGCTGAAGACGGTGGGAGAATTTGGCCGGCAGTTTCTTTCTTCCTTCAGTTCTCTATGTAGCCCAGGGGTCAGCAACCCGCGGCTCCGGAGCCGCATGTGGCTCTTTCATCGCTCTGCTGCAGCTCCGTCACGCAAAATATGCGTCACAACCGCCAATGTGCGACACCCGCCGGCACACGATTTATTGAGCTTTACGACCCCCGGTGGGCCAACCATGGATAAATCCAAGAAAAGAAAAGTTTCAGAAGAAAACAGAACGTTTAATGGCACGTGGGCAGATTCATTTGCTTTCACTGCTGACGAGACTGGTTTACCAGTCTGGGTTTTTTTTAGATAAAAAAAGATACATGCAGTGCTATCTTCCTTTTAGATGTCAAAAGGGTTTTGTGGCTCCCAGTGTTTTCTTTGCTGTGGGAAACAGGTCCAAATGGCTCTTTGAGTGGTTACGGTTGCCGACCCCTGAGCCAGACCAATGGTGCCTGCTCAGACTGGCAGAGGCTGCCCAAGCGTCACATGGATGCCTTTCCAGTCTGCTGCTGGACATCCAAAAAGCAGGAGATGCCACCGGTTAATCCAAGCCATCGTAGAGGCATCAAACAGGGATGCGCATTGGAATCGGAATCCGCCAAGATCAGGGGACGGATGTTTTACGACGTACTGCCCAGGGCTTCTGGCTCCCCCCCGAATGGGCAGCGCTCCTGTGTTTTTTAATTATACTTTTTCTGAGTTTTAACTAAATAAACACTGTAGCAGTGGCATCCCCATAACAGGAAACAACAATTGCATGCGCTATATTATTTGTCCATCCTTATATTAGCGGTTGAACTGCCCGTATATCCTTACAAGCATAACCGCATTTTCCTGACGCACGCTAACTACGATGTTATTGTTCTATTTAAGTTGTCTGCTTAAAATGTGCCACTTTGAGCACAATGGCATTTCGGGGAAATGGCATATCTAAATAAATGGACCGTGACTCATTGTCTAACGGTAGCCACAGAGAAAAGAATTTGATCTGTTGCAGAATCAGAATGCACAAAGGAAGGAGCGATGGCGAGAAGAGCAGGCCCACCCTTGTAGCGCTACACTATGGTTTGCTGTAACACCGAAAAGCAAACTGTGGTTTGCTGGTTCATCACCAACCCAGCCAAGCTCTCCCATATTCCAGGAAGCTGCTCTGAACCAGCCCGGGGTGCTGGACATCTTTACTTTTTTCCTTCTTCTAGCATGCAATAGTTGAAGCTCTCTTAATATTGGGATTATTGTTTTTATCAGTATGTTGTATTTATATCCTGCTTTTTGACCACTTGCAAGGGACCCAAGGTGGCTTACATAGACCTCCTCTGCCCCATTTTACTTGCACAACAATCCTTGGAGGTAGCTTAGGCTGAGAGGCTGTGATTGGCTCAAGTTACCCAGTAAGGCTCATGGCTGAGTGGGGACTTGAGCTCGGATCTCCCCGGCCCCAGGTCAACTTGCTTACCAGCATGCCATGCTGGCTCTTAGCTCTCCCCACCTTCCAAACCGCCCCCTCCCCCAGCTCAGGGCCATCTTGCTCTGTTTGATAGCATTGCTTCAGGGTCTTGGGCAGAAAAACTTATTTCTGGTCAAGCTGGACAAGACAAGAATGAAGCCTGCCCCACATGAAATTAAAAACTATTTTCAGCATGAAGACTGGCATGCAGTGTGATCACATAAAGACCTGTGCTTTTGCAGGGGAAAAAATGGAGAAGCAGTATTGCATATTGGTTAGAGTGTTGTGTGGGGACTCTGGAAACCAGGCTCGAATCCCTCCTCAGCCATGAAGCTCACTGGATGGCTTTGGAGCAGCCTTTGGTGCTCAGCGTAACCTACCTTGCAGGGCTGTTGTGCAAGCATTATGGGCAGCAAGGAGGACCATGTGAACTGCCGTTGGTTCCTTGGAAGACGAAAAAGGGTTCAAGGATTTGAACAGAGAGGGTGGCTGATGGAACCATGGTCATGGTTGACCCCGTCTTCCAGGAATTCATCTGATCTCCCAACCAAACTAGTGCCTTTCCTGGGGCAGAGTTCCACTCACTACATGCTCTAGGGTATCCTTTCTCTCTCCTGAGAGAGAGTCAGTTGCCCATCAGTTTCCCTGGATGAGCCCAAGTTCTGCTATTACCACTGCATTCATTTATGTACATTCAATGGTATTAACGAGAAATGGAGAAAACACTTTTCTCTCTCCAGGCATACGCTTCATACGCATTTCCTTTGAACGACCTTTTCCCCCCAAAACTAAACTCCCCACATGCACTTGTGCTTTGGCATCGCCCCGTTGCCAAGAATTAAAAATGTCTCTCGTCAGTTCCCGCTGCAAACGTTCGCCCTGCTAATTCATCCGGCCTGCACGCTGCAGAAGCTGCCCTGGCTCTCTTCTCCCCGGATGTCCGTCGTATTCTTTGGCGGTTTTGCGCTGGACAGCAAAGCGTCGTGAAATGACCCTGAGTCATGAGCTTGGCCTTTGGGCTCATCCCACGCACATGTCTCTGATATGACAGGAATGGCAATTAGGCTGGTAATTATAGGATGCTCGTTAATGCTGCAGCTCTCTGGAAGGGTGAAGTGGCACCTGACGGAGGAAAGGAAGGTGGGGACTGGTGCTTGGTGTGCTGCTGAGATGCTGGGACAGCAATTTGACCCGCTTTGAAGCTCAGCTGCAACGAGGATGCAACACGCCGAGAGATGGATCCGTGCGGACGATTGCTGAGGGAGGGTCTCTGTAAGGGAAAAAGAAGTCCTCTTGCCGGGGAATTTTCTGAAAGCGCACGGGCTGGGCACTTCATGTGCATGCAAGTGCCGGAAGCATAAAACGGAAGCATGAGCCAGGCACAAGGCCTCAGTGGATGCCCAAATTTATTCTGTACTGGGTGATTTGTTCCCTGTGCTGCCAGCCCTTCAAAGAGATCCCTGACACGAAGAGAATGTGTCAGGGATCCCGACATTCTGGTCCTCACAACAACCCTCAGAGGTAGGCCCGGTGACGAGCGGAACCGGCCCTTATTTATTCATGGAGCCCAGATCTCACATTATTAGCCCACGTTGCAGAGGGGCAGGTGAGAGCATGAAGGGTAGAAAACCCAAGTCCTCCCAGTGATGTCGTGGCACAGCTGAGATTTGAGCTGGCCGCTTGGAGAGCAATCCTGCCCAGGCCTACCTGGAGGTCCACCCCTGGCATTCAGGGGGACTTACTCCAAGGCAGGTGTGCAGCAGATGGTGCGCTGTGGTGAACAGGTCCCCTGAGTCGCCGTGCAGAACCCTTGTGCCTCAAGCAGGCTGCACTGGGCATTGTTCCTCTCAGAGGCACACCTGAGCGTGGGCAGTGGTGTGAGAGACGCTGAAGGCAGTGCCTCCGGGCTGATCTCCCAGCAGGGCCACCCAGGGTGGTCCCAGGTCAGAGCTCTCCCTAGAAGCAAACCTGAGGCTGCCTTACTTTGGACACATCCTGAGAAGGCCCTGGAGGACCTTCCTGCGAGGGACAGCCGCAGGCAGGAGGAGGAGGACCCGACATGAGATGGATGGACTCCGTCAAGGAGGCCCCAAATTTAGAAGAGCTAAGCCAGGGCCTCCTGCATCGGACGTTTTGGAGGACTTCCCTTCGTAGGGTCGCCGTATGTCGGAGATGGTTTGGTGGCCCCAACAGCAGCAACCTGGTGCTTTGTATGCACAGCGCAAGGACTGCCGAGCAGTTGGGAATATCTGCTCATTCTTTCCTTCTCTCTCTCCCCTCTTCCCACTGCAGTATTTCTGGCTGTTCGTCCTGTCGCGAGGCTTGGTCGGCATCGGCGAAGCCAGCTACTCCACCATCGCCCCCACCATCATCGGCGACCTCTTCACGAAAAACACCCGGACACTGATGCTCTCGGTCTTCTATTTCGCCATCCCTCTGGGCAGGTACGGGCGCTGCTTGGCTCTTGACGCGTGTGTGCGTGCGTGCGTGTGTGTGTGTGTACCTCCTATATTCATTTGCTTGTCCATTTTGAAGATGTCGGCCCTTGTTGCTCCAGCTGGTGCTAGGCAAGTCCTACGAACCCCGTCAGGAATCGGGGAGCTGCTGCTTTTGGGGGCAACCCAAGTTGGACTTTGAAGCCCCTTTTGGTTGACCTGTCTGGGGGGTGGTTCACATGGGGAGGAGGGGCTTCCTGCATGCATTTTTCAGACATGCCCACTTGACCCCCTTTGGGTGAAAAGGCACATTTGCTCAAATAGGCATTTCAGAGCACACAGGTCAGAGGAGGGTATATGCACTTTTCGGCAGTGACTGCAGATTCAGAGATTTGCCCCAGACAATCTCCAAAAAAGCTCGCTTGCTTTCGTTCCTGCTCAGGATTGCAAAGAGGACATGGCCACAGGACTTACGAACAAAATCAAAATTCCCCTGCATTCCAGGGGAAGGATGTTTCATCTTTGTATTGTTCACCATTCAAATATTTGGATGTAGTGTCATGGTCTGGGACTCAGGTGATCCAGGTTCTAGTCCCCACTCAGCCATGAAGCCAACCGGGTGACTGTGGGCCAGGCGCAGACTCTCAGCCCGACCTACCTCACTGGGTTGTTGTTGTGGTCATAAGATTGAGAGCAGTAGAATTCTATAAGCTGCTTTGTTGTGAGGAAAAAGTGGGATATAAATCTGATGTAAGCTGAATGATGAATGGTATAAGCTGCCTTGTGTTCCTAGAAAGGAAAAAAAGGCAGGATATAAATCTATTAAATAAATAAATATTGGATTGATTTAGAGCAGTGTCTAAATCTTCTAAATATTAAAATAATAGGGCATCATGGAAGCCACTTTATAGTTTCACAGGAGCTCTTTATTAATATTCTGAAGCCAAACGAAGTTGACGTAACAAAATAGGAATCATTTTTACTGTTATTTCTGTTCCATTTTGCTGCCCTGTCTAATATTTTAAAGTTTTTCAGTGGTGAATGCAGGACGAAGGGCAGAATACTGACTGCTCAGTGGATCCTTATAGTTTCTGTAGGGTGTTCGTAAAGCGAATGGGTCTAATGACCCATCCAAGACAAAGTCATTCCAAAATAATTGCTAATTTCTTTTAATTGGTGGTTTTATAGTTAACATTGGCTGCTGTGCAACTCCAACGCCTATTTCTATTTTTACTCTGTTTTATTAATGGTGTTGTAAACTGTCCCGAGATGTCTGTGAAGGGTCAGTATGGGAGAGGTTTAAATATATACGTACATACTTACATACATTGGATTGCAAGCAATACCACTTGCAAAGAGTATATTGCAGCGGGGAAAACTCCCTGTGAGAGATGCAGCTGAGCCCAGAGTGAGCAGCCGAGTCAAGCCGGGTGTTGACTGAATCGCAGGACAGGGTGGGGAAGCTCAGGCTGGCAGGCAGAAGGCTCCTCTCCCAGGGTCCTAACCTGCCCCTCCCCACATGGTCCCAACCATCCATTGTCTGGCGGGGGCCCTGCTTCTGTGCCCTTTCCCCCCCTTCTGCAACGTCAAAATATTTCTAAGGCTTCATTACATAGAAACATAGAAACAGACGAGCTAGAAGGGGCCTCCTGGGCCATCTAGTCTGACCCCCTGTTCCAGCCGCTTCCGCTCACGACATGCCCACCATGTGCATGTCCAGCCTATCCTTGAACACCCGCACCGATGGGGCCTCAACCACCTCCCGTGGAAGCCCATTCCACACCCTGGGGGTCCCGACTGTCAGGAAGTGCTTCCTGGCATCCAAATGGAACCTGGGTTCCCTGAGCTTTGCTCCATTGCAGCGCATCCTGCCTTCCTCTTCAGGGGAGAACAGGTCTCTACCCATCTCCATGTGACATTCCCTCACAACATATCCCCTCTGAGTCTCCTCTTCTCCAGGCTGAAGGGACCCAGTTCCCTCAGTCTCGCCTCATACAGCTTCCCCTGCAAACCAGCCACCAACCTTGTGGCCCTACGCTGCACTGACTCCAACCTGGCTATATCCTTCCTGTAATGAGGGGCCCAAAACTGAGCACAATACTCCAGTTGCGGGCGCACCAGAGTCGTGTAGAGTGGTAGTAATACCTCTCTCGATCTAGAAGCCACACTTCTGGCTGTGCAACCAAGGGTGGCGTTCGCCCTCTTGGCCACAGTCAGGAAGGGCTTCCAGCTGCCTGAGACTTTGTGGCTGCCTTTGTGGCTGACCGAGCAGACAGCTTCAACAGTCGGGTGGGATGGACGAGTGTGGCGAGCCGAGATTTCTCCTTTGCACACACACCTGCCAGTCCGTTTTCTTTACAAGCGCTCTTTATGGCCTCCAGTGCAAATCACCCAGGCTGCATCTCTGAGCATGCACAGAATGGTTAGTTAAATCCAGTCCAGTGGTCACTTCCGGGAACTGTCCTTAGGAATGCGCCTGAGCCCCACCCCTGCGGGAGAGGCTCTTTGGAGGCAGGCCTGCCTCCTTTCTGCTCGTCTAATTGGGCCTCTTGCCTTGACTGGCGCCTTGCCGCGGGGTTCAGCTCAGAGGGAGGGGGCTGGTCCGTGCCTGGGAGCTCCTCGTTTCCTGCCCCAGCCCCAAATCCAGCTCATTCCCAGCATCCCTTGACATGCCCTTCAGCTGATCACCTCCACCTGCCCCCCTTGCTGCATCCCAGCCCCCCCAAATCCTGCCCCCCAATTTCACCAATACGTCCTCATCACTCGACTCTGAATCAGTGCCTGGGATGCGGCTGGTACCTTGTGGGAGTGTTTTTGCCTGTCATCCTTCCTGCTCCCAACGACGAGCAATAAATACATTGAGTAAAGGACGACACTAAAACGGGCCCTGTTTTGCCGCTTTGGCAGTTAGCGCCGGCCGCATGGCTTCGGTTCAGCCCACCTCTTGAATGCTTCCCCCGGGGCGTTCTCCAGGGGGGCTTCCCTTCCAGCTGAAAGACACTTCTTGTCCCTGCCGTAATGGCCCAGCTGACCCTGGGATAACCGAAGGAGGGGTATAATGTGGCCCTGTTTTCCGGCACGGACCCGACCGGGTGGCTGGCGGCTTTCATCACCAAGTGGCCATGCCGAGAACATGGTCCTCGCCCAGCCTTCAGGTGGGAAAGGCACCAAAGATGGCTGGAATTCCACACCGATTCTTTCAGACTGTTACAGGTGCAGTTGCTGGGAAGCAGTTCTGCAGGGCAGGATGCAGGAGTGCCCCAAATCGGAGTATCTTGTGCAGTGTTCCCATTTTACAGGTGGGGCAATGGAGGCTGGGGGCCAGGCTTGCCCAGGGCCGCCAGAGGAGGCTGGGCTCACGCGGGGATTGGAGAGCTCAGCTCAGAAAGCAAGACGGCGCTCCTCGGCGGCGCTTCCTTTGCCGTCCGGCTTCCCTTATCAGCGGCGTGCATGCTCCCCTTCTCTGCGCATGAGGAATGCAAGGACATCGCAGTGCGTGACCCTAACCTTGGCAAGGTTACAGACAGGGTGGGCACACCGGGTTGGGCTCCAAATTCCAGCCGGCCGGCTCGTTTCCTGCGGAGAAGCTCGGCACGGCATGTTTATTTCCACTGGGGAAAACCTTTCCAGCAATCAGCAGCTTGACAAAACATCAGGATGGGAACCACAGTAGCCGAGGCTGATAACGTCCAGCTTTCACACAAAGGCTTGAAAGCATTCTTGAAGAAAGCTCGTTAGGGAGAAGCATATTCTGCACCTCGTAAGCCGGACAGACAGGGGAAGCTTTTTCCTGAAGAGTGCCGGGAAACTCCATTTGAAGCATGGCCACCGTTGCCACCTTCTCAGTGCGCTTGTAATGGAGCATTTGGTTCTGCCAGCGCAGCCTTGCAAACAGGCCCACAAAAGCCCCCGGAAGCCCAGAAGCCGGATAGGAAGATGTGTCCCCCAGCAAGGATTTCTTAGATACATACACACAGTCCCCAGGTCAAGGACGAGTTCCATTCCTGAGATAGTCTTTAAGTCGAATTTGTGTGCAGTCAGATCACTTTTATAAAAAACATATAAAACACTGAAGAAAACTCCCATATTCACTGAAAGAGCTTAAGCACAATACAGCATTTTAATAAGGGTAATGATACAGTAATAATCAAGTCACTACAGGTACTTGAGAAAGGGAGAAAACATCTGTATGTATGTGTGTAGCCAAACACTATAGTTCTAAAAATAGTTTAGATAGAAGAAATAGTAAAAAGATGATTAAAGGTTCTTGCACTAACATTAAGCCTAGCATTAACCAGGTGATGATGGACATGGGACTGGTGCTGGAGAGGCAGAGTTTGGTGTTCCCACTTGGCCTCTCGCTGCTTTTTTCCTCCTCCCACCCTTTCCCTCCTTCCTCTCATCTCTTCCTCTCTCTCTCTGCCTGCTGCCCGCAGGCACCCACTTACCAGTCAAGGATGAGGTGGGGCTTCCCTGCTGTGGAGGGTGTTCTCCGTTTATAAAACATGTCCAAAATCTTCCTTCTTTTCAGCATTTCCTCAAATCTCTGCTGCTTCGGAATGGGGAGATATGAATGCTCTCTTGGGTTGGGGTTTTCCTTTTGGAGCATTGAAGTTTCTGCGATTCCCTGACGGTCCAAAAAGATTCAATTTGGGGGACTGGGAAATGGATGCAAATTTGTCCTGCATTCACTGTCCTGCCCTTAAATTGGGACAAACGTTCCCTCCATTTATTTCTCAGCTATTAAATTTGCATCTGTTTCCCAGTCCGGAAAAAGCACAATTATTCCCCATAGTTTAATTTTTTTAAAAAGCTTGGAAGTGAAAGGATGGAATTGTGCAAATGGCAAGCCCAGCACCAGCCTCAGTGGAATTTATATCAGCCCCCCCATTCCGTTAGTGACCCCCCGTAACTGCAGCAGCAGGTGTGCCCAACAGGGGTGGAGGGAGCTGATCTCTCCACCTCCTGCAGCAGCTGGAAATTCAAGACAGTGCTAAAAATGGTACGGGACAGATATAATTGCTAGTTCAGTTCTTAAAAGCCAGAGGATTACTTTTGAAAGCGGTGGTAATGTTGCCACCCTCTGTCTAGTGATCCTATTTTGCTACCTTTCCGTTTTACGTTCCGATCGGCAGTTGACAACCACGCTCAAATTAGCCATGAGGAAGTCTCGCCCTGTCAGTTTCCTTTGACGGCTGAAACTTGCAGGGCCGTTGACAAGCCAGGGCTGAAGGGGCACGCCTGTGGCATTGCGGAAGGGCAGCTACAGCGGCAAAGGGTTTAAAAACCTGGCGAGCAGAGTGGCACGATTTTCTGGGTCTGAAAAAGTAAGCGGGGAAAGTTTTGAACTGGTGGTGGGTCCTCCGATATGCGGCTTGGGCATCGGTGCAGGGGCTGGTACAGGCAAGGGGATTTGCCGCTCCTGCTGATCCACTCTCTAGCTGCATCCTACAACTTCTGATGTAGTCAGTCTGCCAGGTTTAGACGATATAACAATCCGTCACCCATCGGGGTCAAACATTGCTGAGGACAAGCCATGGTGTGTCAGGGTGGGTTTTTGCGCAGAAATAAGCCATCCTGCAGAAAGATGTCAGATGACATGACAATCTACTGTTGCTCGTTACCTGTGATGGGTTGCCATGTTTTTGAACCCAGTCACTGGCTGGATTCAGACAACAGTTAACCCGCACACAGGTTGAATATGGGTTAAGCATAGGTTGTTGTGTCGGCTGAACCCAGCCACGGTTAATCATGGCTTATCTGTGCACAAGCATGTAACAATTTTATACCATTTGAACTATGTTGGCTTCCAGCAAAGAATCCTTTGAGTTGAGCTTTAGTGAAGGTGTTGTGCTATTGTGGTTACAGATCTGTAAGCTGTCTCTTTGAATGATTGTTCTCAGTAAAAGGATAACGATGATTAAACCAATGAAAACAAATGCAAAGCTGTCTTTATCACCTTAAGGACTAGAAATCTTTACTTTTCAAATGAGATTATCAGGGGCTGAATTTTGCCTGTGATACCAGTAAAGGTGTTTGTGCAGTTCCTGGGACTGGTTGTGCAATCGTGGAATATGCACAATTCTGGCTGTTGTCAGTTGCTTTTACATTAATGAACACCCAGAATATATCATACAGCATTACATAAATGCATGTTGTGGCCACATTTTCATCTGAGTAGGTGTCGGATGAGCAAGTGATTTTGAAATGCTGTGCTGTTTTCAGGCTTAGTTTTTCCCTACGTGTTTCAATGAGTGCATCAGGAGCCATTAGCAAACCCGATGGACTAGGAACTTGAACAAATAACACTTTTTTCTCTACCCCCTTTTAATGTTCTTGCTTTGTATTCTAGTGGCTTAGGATACATCACTGGATCAAGCGTTAAACAAGCAGCTGGCCACTGGCACTGGGCCCTGCGGGTGAGCAAAAGACCTCCTTTCCCCGTCTCATGTGCTTGTTTAAACGTCTTAAATGAAGGTCTGCACCTCTTTGCCTTGACTCAAGCCTAAAATTAAGCCGAAACAACATAATTAGTTGGGAACAAAAGGGACAGGTTGTTGGAGTGGGGAGAGCCGCTGCTTAGGACTGGAGGCTCACCAGAGCTCTTTCTTGTCCCCACCCGTTTTCCATCTCCCATAACAGTCTGTCAGCACCCCATGTGCAATGAATGCTCCCATTAGGTTTTCCAGCCAGCCACTCATGGCCCTTTCTGGGATACTCCATTCCATCCCTTCCTTATTGACTTTCTGCCCCTTCTCCCCATGCCAGGCAGTTAGCATTTGGCTGCCACTGAGAATTTTCAAAATTGCAATACTTTGGGGACTTTATCCATCCCCCAATTCTAGTGGGTTCTTTCTCCTAAAGACCATTTATGTATTCATGTAGCGATTCCTTATTTTTTTGCTCTCCCTTTTCTCTGCAAGGAACCCAAAGCAGCTTACATACACAACCCTCCTATTTTTCCATTTACCTTCACAACAGCCCTGTAGTGTAGGCTAGGTTAAGAATCTCCAGGGAACTGGATGCTCACTGGGAGACTTTGGGCCAGTCTCAGACTCTCAGGTCAGCCTACCTCACAGGGTGGTTCTTGGGAGGACAAGATGGAGAGGAGGAGGAGAATGCTGGAAGCTGCTTTGAATTCCTTGACAGGAAAAAAGGCGGGATATACAAATAATCCATAAAACGTTTGACTGTTCTCCCTTGCTTCCCGTCTCCTACAAGCAGCATGTCAGGGAAAGATCTGAGATTAAATAATATGGAGCAGTTTCTTTCCCAGATGCTATATACGTACTTTTCTCGCTAGAATGGGAACAAAATCTGCTTTAGGGCTGAGAATGCTTCCGGCTTATGGCAGATTATTGTCAGGGCAGGAAAGCAAAGGTAGGAGAATTCTATCAACTCAACTGCTCTTAATTCCCTTTGCTGTCATTAAACACAGCCCATTTTTTCCTGTTTTGAGGGGAGGCGCACACTGTCTCACTTTGCATTTATTTTTCTGCACCAAAGCGCTCCATTTCCTTCTATTTTTCCCCTCGGGGACCTTGATAAATATGTTGGGAAGACTAATACACAATGCAGATGGCAGACAGAAAGGTCTCTGGGCCAGAAGAATAGCCAGCAGGAAACAGGACGGCTAAACTGTTTCCTGACCTTTAACCCGGCTTGGTCTCGTGGCACCAACTTCGGGGCTTTTCACTGGTGCATTTTGCAAAGGCGAAATCTCAGCACTGGGTACCATTTGTTGGGGCTGGAACCCTCTCCTACCAGACCTGGGATAAACATCCCATTCCATGCCCGTTAAACCAGGTCTAACATAATACGTAGCATCTCTGCTCTGCAGATTTCCCCAATCCATGTGTGGGACAGCAACTTCCAGTATGCTGGCTGGGAATGATGGGAGTTGGAGTCCCACACACGGGGGTGGGGGCACAAGGTTGGAGAAGGCTGCAGTTGCAGGTTCTGCAGAAGATCTCCCCACCCCGGCTGAGGATCAGGGAGTGAAACCAGTGCTTCCAGAAAGCTTTGATCCGTTAAATAAGCATGCTCAGATTAACTGGATTTTAAGCATTTCAAAATTGCCTTCAGTGCAAGTTACCTTATAAAAGCTTCAGATTATAATCGTGTCACTTGATATATTTGCATCCCACCAAGAACATTCTAATGGCCTGTGCAGTTCTCTCCCCCACCATTTGCTCTGTACAACAGCCCTGTGAGGTGGGATCACCTGAGTGGGGATTAGAACCCAGGTTTGGTCCAGCCTTGGAACTGTCATGACACAGGGTGCTAAGCAGAGGCACATTCCCATTTGAATCTGCATATAAAGCCGATTTACGGACAACCTGGGGCCTTCAGATTCATGCAAGTCCAACATCTGTCACCCCACCAAATTGGCCAGTGCCAGGGATGATGGGAGAAGTAGTCTGAAGTATTTGTAGGTTGCCCGGTTTGCGGGCGCTAATCTAGATTTAAAAGAGAGGGTGTGATAGGGAAGTGAGGTTAAATTCATGCATCTGCTTTGCATGGCTGATGCTGATATGCTTTGTGTACATTTCGTGGCTCCTGAACCTGTTTGCATTGGGGCAGGGGACTCTAATGAATGGAACAACCTGAAAGGCACCCCACACCTTTTCTTTGCAATTATTATTATTATCATTTCAATTTGCAGTTATTTATTATGAATTAACCCTGCAGCCAAAGCTCACTGGGAGGTTTATAAAATACAATAAAAATGCAGATAACAGCAAAACATCATAAACATTGCAATACACAATTTGAAAGCCAAATGTAAAATGAGATTTAAAAGGCCACGTCAGCGAACACAAATTAAATCACAACCCCTGTTAAGCAACTGACATAATGCTCTGGCAAGCTATTAAAGCTAATTCAGTGCATTCTCATTAGAGAACAGTCTTAACCTGGTGCTGAAAAGATGGTAGAATTGGTGGCAGCTGGGCTTCAGCAGGAAGCTTGTTCCAGAGCAGAGGGGGCCACCACTGGGAAAGCCCTGCTCTTTGTTGCCAGCCACTGAGCCTTGGTTCGACGTGGCAGTCAGAGGCAGTCCCCAGATCTTGACCGTAGTGCCTGGGGAGAGGGCTAGAGGAGGGCAGAGGGGTGTTACGGCGACCCAGTAACCTGACCCTTCTCCTTCCCTTTGCTTCCAGGTCTCTCCCCTTTTAGGCATGATTACCGGGACTCTCATCCTTATATTTGTTCCAGCTGCTAAAAGGGGGAACGCTGAGCAGCTGGGGGCCCAGCTGAAGGCGCGGACCTCGTGGCTGAGGGACATGAGAGCCCTGATCAGAAAGTAAGCAACCCCTCGGATCTTCCTTTTTCCACACTGGGCTCCCGACCACGTTGGGTGTGGGGCAGGCCGTCCCTCCAGACAAGCAGCTAGTCCCAGTAGACAGCCTAGTTCACTGTCTCCAGCTTGCCCAGCCATCTCCTGTTGCAGCCCGACACTGGTCCAAGGGGCTTTTCCTCTCCCAGTGGAGCTCTGCTCCTTCTCTGGGGGAACCACCCACACCGAACGACGGCCCCCGGGGGAAAGCCACCACAGGTGCCTGCTCTGGTATCACAAGTGCAAAATTGCTCGCCGTTTTGCTTCCCACGGGATGGCCGCAGCGGGGCTCCTTTGCTCACCCCACCTCTTCCGTCTCTTCAGCCGCAGCTACGTGTTCTCCTCCCTGGCCACCTCGGCCGTCTCCTTCGCCACCGGGGCTTTGGGGATGTGGATCCCCTTGTACCTCCACCGGGCACAGGTGGTCCAGAAAACAGCCGAGACCTGCACGTCACAGCCCTGTGGGACCAAGGACAGGTGAGGCTTTGCTTGCAGACGTCCCAGGTAACCCACCACTCTCCTGCCAGCCGTCACAGGCCAAGCCCTGGAAGCGGCATTCTTGCCAGCCGGATCTCCATGGAGTCAGTGCATTGCTGTTTGCAATGGCTGGCTCAGCCGGGTTTAGTTTCATGTCTTGCTTTTCAGCGTCCACCTTGGAGGTTTCTCGGGGGCATCCAATTGGCTGCACAAGATGGTGCCTTGGTCAAATCCAGTAGCAATTTTCTTAGGTCACAGCCCCTGCTCAAGAACCCCAGCTATCTGAGATTCATTGACCAATGCCTCGTTATGGAATGAGCCTTCCACTCATTTCTGGTGCGTTAAACACACCCTTCAGCCATGGGTTACGTGTGACTTTTAGACTTACTGGAATCGCAAAAGGGTTTGAACCTTCCTGAGGGGAAAGTCAAAGGAGGATGCTAAACTCTAAATAAAATCAGCTCATAGTCTTTCCCGTACCAGCTAGTCATCAAGGGCTTTTAATTTAACTTTTGCAGTCTTCATCAGGGCCCCTGTCATAACAACTCTGAGCCTTGTTGTTGTTTTCTCTGAATGGGTTCGTGACAAGCGGTTTTTCCAAGGGCAGGAGACAACTGCAGAAAACAGAACCCTGGAGGTGCAATCCATTTTCAGTGAACTGGTTGTGCTGAAACGTATTTACATATTGTAGCACTTCAGTCAAAGGTGTATTTTCTGAGCCTCATGTCTATTAACTCTTAATTAGGAGAGAACTCAGAATTCCCGTGCAAAACACTCAGAATATCCCCAGAGCCTTCCTTTTCAATGTCGCAGTTTCCTTGATCGGGTCTCTTAGCAACTCGTCCTCGCCACTCCACTCTGCTATCGGAGCTCCCACCTGCCTCTCACTGGCTTGCCTTATGTGCCAAAATGAGAACGACCTTTATTTTAGGAACAATTCCCTGTCTTTAGCTTAATCTTCGGAGCCATCACATGTTTCACCGGATTCCTGGGCGTGATTACCGGGGCCGGAGCGACCAAGTGGTGCCGGTTGAAAACGCAGCGTGCGGATCCTTTGGTGTGCGCCGTCGGGATGCTCGGTTCGGCCATCTTCACCTGCCTGATCTTCGTTGCGGCCAAAAGCAGCATCGTGGGCGCTTACGTATGTACCGCATCTGCATTTCTGCGGCATTCCGTTTTGCAACGGGTTCTGTCTGTCGGTCGGTGCTCTCACCCATCCGTGCTTCCATGCGGTGTTGATTCCACTTCTGGAGGATGGAGGTGACTTGGGCAAGATGGATTAATCTGCTTGCAGAATGAACCCACTGCTCCCTATCTAGAAAAAAATCTGTGTAGGAAACTGACAGAAAAATAAATCAAATGTTTTGTAATAATATTTACAATCAAGTGACAGCAATAGAACTGTGGCTAGTCTGTCAGGAAAAGCTTGTTTAAATAAGAGATCTCTGTGGGATTTCTCTGAATCGTAAAGAGAAACAAAACAAGGTTGATCTCTAGAAACACAACAAGATTAATCTGCACCTGACTTCAGCAGGCAGGGAATTCCGCCAGGAGGGAGGCCTTACGAAGAACGCCACTGCGAAGCACCGTGACTCCCCCAGAGATTAGATTCTCCATCCAACCATCATTAGGAGTTCGTCCTAATGACGAGCATGTTCCTTGCACGGGACTCCCTTCCAAAGGAAGTGAGGGGGTTGGCTATGAAGAGGAGGCCTTTCGGGTGGTGGCACTCTGCTTGTGGAATGAGCTCCCTAAAGAACTGGGCCGGGCGCCTGCTTTGTATATCTTTCAGTGCCAGGTTTTCAGCACCGCCTTTTACTTTTCCCAGCATTGTATGAACCCAACTTTTAAGCTCTGTCTTCATAGATCTTATTTTATTCCTGTACCTCTGCCATGCTTCTGTGCTGAATAATGGCAACAGCAATTATGCTTTTGTGCTTTTAATATAATTTGCGTGCGTCTTCTTAACTTTTGTTTAGTTTTAACTTCTGTTAACTGGCCAGAGAGCCTGGGCTGTTGGGCGTAATGGAAATGAATTAAATAAATAATTTTAAAAGATTCGGTCTCCCTCCAACCACATCGACAAAACGGGCACGTTTCCATGTGAATCTTGAAATAAATCAGGATGCATCCGACATCAGAAGCATTGACGTGGGTGTCTCTTGTGCTTCCACACCAGGTTTGCATCTTTATTGGTGAGACTCTCTTGTTTTCCAACTGGGCCATCACAGCTGACATACTCATGGTAAGTGGAAAGGGGTGGCCGTTCAGACCGTTTTGCGAGGACTGTCCATCTTTGGTGATTTTGTGGCCACACCGGCCCAGAATTGGAGCACCCCATGGACCACCTTAGAAACATAGAAACAGAGCGAGTCAGAAGGGGCCTCCCGGGCCATCTAGTCTGACCTCCGGCACCAGACGTGCCCTTCTTCCATTTGATTCTACAGCAAGGTGGGATGGGGAACTGGCGGCACTCTGATGTTGGAGACTACAATGCCTATCAGCCCCAATGGCAGGAATGATGGGAGCTGTCTTTTCACAGCATCCGGTGGGCTGCAGTTTCCTCATCTCAGCATTAGGCAGAGACAAACTACCAATCCTCCTAGAAAAGAAATGATCAACCTGTGTTTAGACAGACAGCGTGGTGCAGTGGTTAGAGTACTGTGGGGTGATGTACAGTCAACAAAGTCCAAGCTTGCCAAAATTCTCCTCATTCCACCTTGAAGGCCAAAATTCAAACCAGATTGCCAGCTTTGTGTTTTCCTTTACATAAGGAAATCCACATGTATTTTCCATCAGCCATGCGCATCTTTGAAATACGTGCATTCTTTTCCCAAACAGCATTTTTTTTAAAGCAAGCATTTTTTTCATGTGTGCTTTGAAATGCGCACATGCTGTTGAACACACGGTCTGCGGGGTCTTCGAAGCACCCAGCAAACTCGCAAAGGCATGCATTTCAACCGCAGCTTGTAACCGGGTCTGTGTTCAGCCTGGAAGGTGCAAACCGCATAAACACTGGCCAAAGCCAAGCCAAAATGAATTTTTCACACATCACCCCTTCTGCTCCAGATGGGGGGCAAGAAGCCACTCAGTCCAGGAGGAAGCCACCTCTTTTCACCCAAAGAACTCATTCCTTTGCAAAGAATTTTCTGGGGCAGCAGGGCTGAAGACGAAAGGGGCAAGGTTAACAGACCCCCCCCCCCGCCAAAAAAGAGATAAACCCAGCATATTTTTGTATAAATACTTCTGGCTACTAAGTCTTTCAGAATGGGGAAAAGGGGCATAAAAGACAAGGAAACAGCAGCCAATGGATGTTTTGGAGAAAAGTAGGAGCAGAAGGGACCTGGCTGGGGGTCTCCCCCTCCGACCGCATCCTCTCCCTGGGTTTTGACATCTGCTCCGGAATGAGATAAGGCTCATGCCATTCCTGGGATGGGTCCGCTTCACTTGGGGTGGAAGGGCTTAGTGGTTTCATTTATTCATTTATTACAAGCATTTATATCCCGTCCTTCCACCAAGCGCTCAGGACGGCTTACAAAATATAAAAATACAATATAAAACCTCAATTAAAAAATATAAAAGGAGGAAAAAATAGAAAATGTGACTGTGAAGAGAAAAAAGAAAAATTCTAAAACGTCTAAACCCTTGATTATTCAAATAATGGTTAAATGAAAAGGTCTTAACCTGGTGCCGGAAGGAGTTTAACGTCGGCGCCAGGTGGGCCTCTCTGGGTAGCGCATTTCATAGTCTGGGCGCCACTGCAGAGAAGGCCCCGCTCCGGGTAGATCAATGATACGGATGCACCGTGCTAGGTTTGCCATGAAGAGTGTCACTTGGCTTTTGTGGTGTCCGGGAAGTCCTTTCCCACAACCCGAGGAGCCCCAGCCTCCGCTTAACGAGCCGAGCTGGGCCAGGACCATCTTTCCTCGCCTTTCCAGAGGGCTGTGCGCCACGAAGCTCCATGCGGCCAGGGCGATCCCGCCCCGCGCCAACTCCTGGCATCCCTCGGCAGGGACGTTTGAGCCGGCTCCTGTGGGGCGGTTTTGGGTTTGGCTCTGGTTTAGCATTGCAAATGGCAGTTCAGTCTGTCCTTGGCTCCCTCTCCAGACTTGGGGAGCAGCAGATGTTAGGCCAGATGCTGTCTCTGCCCTTTGCCTGCACGCACACACGCTCGCACCAGGACAACCATCGTCACCCTACCGTACTAACATAGAAACAGCGTGAGGCAGAAGGGACCTCCCGGGCCATCTAGTCTGACCCCTGGCACCAGCCGGCTCCGCTCACGACATGCCCTGCATGTGCACGTCCAGCCTGTCTTTGAACGGAGGGTTCAAAGCAGAGGGTTTCCCCAGCACCGTGGCAGACAAGCCCTGGCCAAACTGACTGCCTGCCATTCCCCTTCTCTTCCTCTCCCTTTCGTTCTCCATAATTAATCCGGCGCGTTCCACACGGGGCAGAACGGTCCACCGCCTCGGGCGCAGGAAGAATTTTTAGTCTGGGGATTTCTTTGCATGCCTGAATCTCGAGTGTTTGTTTCTGAAACCTGCTGCCTTGGAAGCTTTTGCTGCATAATTTATCACGAGTAAATAACAGTGGAAGGAGTATTTCCTGTTTAGTTTAGATTACGTGCAGGTAAGCTGTGCCTTGGCAGAAAGCTGCTTCGAAGGGATGTGTTCCGCTTTTCTGCCATGCAGGATGGGGCTTCTAGCATGGGGGCTTCTCCAACCCGCCCTCCGGATGTATTCGATGACACTGCCATTATCCCCAGCCAGCAGGCTGCCTGGGGATTATGGGGTTTGTAGTCCAACACATCAGCAGGGTGCCGGTGGAGTAAGTCTGGGAGTCTGCTTCAGACCAGGGCTGGAGAAACTCAGGTTCAAATCCCACTCAGACAGCTTCCTGGAAATCTTGCATTGGTCACTTGACCCTCCTCTGAGCCTACCTTGCAGAGTTGCTGTGAGCTCTTATTGGGTGGGGGAAGAATTGTGTCAATCATCTTGAGCTCTTTGGAGGGAAGTTTGGCTAGACCATAGGTAGAGAAGTCTACAGTTAGTTTATTTTTATTTATTACAGTTAGTTTAGTCCTTGTTTTAAAAATAATTTCATCTGGCTGAAAATCTGGCTTCTGGCTGGTAGCAAGTGGCTTTTAAAACATTTTCCACTGGGTGGCGGAGCCTGCAGTTCTCCTGCGAGGGTGCTGGGACCCTCTGCCTGCTTGCATCCTGGCTTGAGGTGGGCTGCCGCAGGCGCACCATTGGTGTGCAGGAAAGTCCGTGCCCAGGAAACCAAATAAGCATGTTTTCCAGGTTAAGAAAAGATCTCCCAGCTCAATTAATAAGCACAGCCCTTCCTCTGACCTTTTGCTTCTCTCGCACGTCTTTCCCCCTGCAGTACGTGGTCATTCCCACGCGCCGAGCAACCGCAGTGGCTTTGCAGAGCTTCACGTCACACCTTCTTGGAGACGCTGGCAGCCCCTACCTGATTGGATTCGTAAGTTCCATCTCGGCATACCTGGTTTTGCGGGGTTGGCGCAGCATTTTGGGCCTCCTGGATGGCCCGGCCATCCACCCAAATTTGAAAGAAAAAAGGAAGGAAGGCAGGAAAAGGGGAGAGTTGAGACCTGGAAGGTCACCGTACCTTCGAGTCATTTCGCCTGAGGTGCACAGGGGTTCGTCCTCTGCCAGGAATTCTGCTGTTCCAACAGAAATGTCTAGAAACGAAAACAGATGAGCCAGAGGTGCAAAGCACGTGCAGAAAAAGACCGTTCATCCAGCTGCATCAATTTATTTATTTATTTATTAGATTTATATCCGCCTTTTCTCCTTTCAAGCAACTCCAGGCGTCTTACATAATTCTCCTCTTCCTCTCTATCTTATCCTCAACAACAACCCTGTGAGGTAGGTCGGACTGAGATGCTGTGACTGACTCCAAGTCCCCCAGTTGGCTGCATGGCCGAGTGGGATCTAGAATCCAGACTGGCAGATTCCCAGTCCCACGCTTTTAACCACTGCACCACACTGCCTTTCGCTGATTATAATTTCTTTCCGCAAGTGCCCACGGGGAAAGGGTCTGGGGCACACGGCCTGCTGCATAGTCGAGGCGCCAAATGAAATATCTGGGCTTCCGCCTTGGTAGACCATTGTGCGTCAGACTTTTGTCCCTTCTTGACGTCTGTGCAGGGGTGTCCGGCACAGAACCCGCTCCCCACCTAGACACTTTTGCCCCAGAAACACCAGAGCTTGAACCCAGAGCCTTCCGCATACTTTGGCCCCCTTGCAGTAACCGCCCTTTCTGGAAGGACTTTGGCATCTCGTCAATCAATCAATCAATCCTTAATTCATTCATCAACCAGCCACTAAATAAAGTACAAAATCACAATCAGTTAAAAATAAGAGAAATACAGTACTAAAAGATTACAATTATTAAGACAAAAAAAATAAAAGAATTCTGGTAGAACATGTAGGGTTAATTCTGCCGTGCAGTGTACAAACTACTGAACAGTATTTGGGTGTAGTCAAGGAGATAAAATCAGATTGATTGGAGAAAAATAACTTAAGATAAAAAGAACCAGAGTAACTGGGATCTTTGGAAAGGAATAGCAGTTCCTGGCAAGCACCTGTCTATGGAGAGGGGAGTGAAGAATAGTGAGCTGAAGCAATTCTTTTGTTTCTCCCCACACAATCTCTGTCCAAGGGGTATTTGTGGCATCGCACAGACATCTCTTCAAAACAGCAGAGCCATTGGAAATCCCCCTCCAGCACGGACGAAAGGGCTCTGGTCAGCCGTTTCTGTGGGAATCTCACACACCTCCGCAAGGAAGCCGCCTGTCGGTTCGCCCAACATCTCGGCTAAACGGTGCGCCGACGCCATGCGCTGACCCCGTCCCACTGTCTGTTTCCTCTGCAGATCTCCGATGTGATACAGCAGAGCACGAAGGAGTCCCCGCTCTGGGAATTCCTCAGCTTGGGGTACGCGCTCATGCTGTGTCCGTTCGTCGTGGTCCTGGGAGGGATGTTTTTCCTGGCTACGGCCCTCTTCTTCCTGAGCGACCGCGCCAAAGCAGAGCAGCAGTGAGTATCTGCAAACCGTGGGGGGGGAGAGAGTGCCTCCGTCGGGTTTTTAAGGAGGGCCTTGGCATGCTGCAGCCTTGCTTTTTCAAAATCATCAGGCTTGTGGCCGATTTAAGCTCGTTTCGCACCTAGTTAATGGCCGTGTGCAGAAGCCCAAGAGTCACGCCTCCATTTCACGTGGATGAAGTCAGATCAGAGAGGGCTCAGACTGGCAAGGGACATGGCTGTAGGCAAGGAACAGCTCTCCTCAAATACCGCACGCCACTCGGTGTGGCCGTCGGAGCAGACATGTGGTTCCGCCTGCGTGTTTTAATTAAAGAGGCAGCCCTGCGGCACCTATCCCGGCCAAGAGGCAGGGTGTTATCGCGGCCAGAGCTGGGCTGGAGGAGAGTTAGTTAATTAAAAGGGGCCGGCGTGGCAGAACGCACGCTGTGGACTGCCGTGTCCCGCAGACCTCGGCCCTCCAGAATTACCATGGCCCCAAATGAGTCTGATGCCATCCGTGCCGAGTGGATCGAAGGATGCCCGAGATCACTGAGCGTGCTCGGCAGTTTTCTGCAAGCCCCTGCGGCGTGGGGTCCGGCAGGGGCCCCGCAGCTGGCCCTGCGGAGAGCGTTGGCTGCTCAGGAAGGGAGCTGTGCAGCAAGAGGGAGAAAAAACGGCTGGCACATGGGCATTGGGGATGGAAAGGGGGCAGCGGGAGACCTCTTGCTCAAGCCCCACCCTTCAGAGAAGAGAGAGAGCTGGCGTGGCTTCATGGCATAGATTTGGACGGGGAAAACCCAGGTTCAGATCCTCAGTTGGCCCTAAGGCTTGCCAGATGACTCTGGGCTAGTCTGGCCTACTTTGCAGGGTTGTTGTGAGGACAGAACCAGGGTGGTGCTGATGGAGAACTCCGTACCTGTGGCCTCCTGCTTCTTGGGGCAAGGGTAGATAAAAGTGTCACGACAGGTCTGCCAAGGTGCACAACGCACGGCCCGAAGTTTGGCCTGGCGCCCGCCTTGTCATCCTGTTGGGGGCAGATTGAAAGAAAAATAACTCTGACAAGTTATTTCAAGGCACCTGAGAATATTTAATGGCTCAAGGCGCGTATGCATCTCAGATCTCAAGTCTCATAGACTGAATTAGCTGTTTTTGGATGGTTCAGGATTTGGAGAAATGTCTATGTCTCCTTCATGAACTGTAGCAAGCCACCCACAGAGTCGCAGCTACCGGGCAATATAGAAATTAAATTCTTGGTAGCCATAACAGTCATTGAGTTGGAAGGGGTAGGGAGCCTTTTGCAAAACCCGCATCTGCTCAGTGACCATCCCACTTAGCATACAAGATTTTGCAAAGCCCGTTTCTGCTTAGCACTGATAAGTACCAAGTCTATAAGGAGTATGTGCCTGTGAGCCGTTATGCCCATTTGCTCTAATAGGTTCCCTCCAGCAGTGTAGGACTACAACCCCCATCATCCCCAGCCAACACAACCTTTGGTCTGAGATGACAGGGGCTGAAGTCCAGCACACCTGTAAGACACCAGGTCGGGGAAGGCAGGGATGCATGGAAAAGAATAGATTTGGAACCGAGTTGCCTCTCAGAAAAGAATTCTTCCCTAGTCTTTGATACGGAGTATTATGTGGAAAAACAAACAAACAAACCTGAGCTACGTGTTTTTCAGTACCGATTTGGATCGCCTCACCCTTGGCAACTCCAGTAACTCGGAAGATGCTGCCACATGAGGTTTTTTGGGGTTAGTTTGCGTTTTTTATTGTTGCTTTTTTAAAAAAATTAAAATACAAAAAATTCTATTTGTCAGGGGAGAGTGAGGGTGTGTGACACGGGTGTGTGCGTGCATGCGTGCGTGTGTGCAGAAATCTAGCATATATATAAATACATATTTTGAATGCCTAAACTGAGAAAGAAGCAAGTTTGGAACAGTAGTTTCATTTTTGCGGGCAGATGTTCTGAAAAGTGTGTGGTTGCGTAGGTGTGTTTGTGGGCTGCTCATACGTTATACAATAAGTTTGTGAAGGATTTTCTAGACCCAAGTGTTTATGTTAGTGTTGCATGAGTGGAGAGCTATAATCCACCCCAGTCTTTGTGTGGCTGAGGCCGCTGGGTGAAAAAACTTCCTTGTTTCAGAAGACGGTCCACTTCCTTGAAGTATTTTAACTATTTTGCTTCTTCCAGTTACCTCCAACCACTGGAAATCTTATTGATTTCTGATTATGAACATTCAGCAAGCATGAGGACTAGCAACATGGCTGGTTGCTTTTAAAATGGAAGCAATAAGAAGTAGGAATTGCAGTTCTGGCCCAGTGGCAAACTCAGACAGATCTGTCTGCACGTGCATTATTCGCACATCCCTGTGAAATCCCTGCCTGTGGAATCACGGTGCTCAGTGCAGGAAGTCCAACACCAGATGGAGCTGCGGTGTCCAGGACAGGTCCAATTCCTGCTCAGATACCTCCAACAAAGGTGCAGTAGTGAGACTACTACCCTGGGGATTTGGGAAATCCAGGTTCTAGTCCCTCCTGGGCCATGGCACTAACTGGGTGGCCTTGGGTCAGTCCCTCACTCTCAGCCCAACCTACCTTACAGGGTTGTTGTGGCAAGGATAAAATGGAGCTTTGTGAGCTGTAGAGGAAGAAATGTAGAATAAATGCAATAGTATAGCGGTGTTGATGCGATTGCTCTCTCTGTCACACATCTCTTCATAAGTTTCTTCTGATGTTTAGCGAAAATCGGCTTCCTTGCTCTGTGGGTTCTAATCCTGTTTTCTGGAGTAGCAGAGAAGAAGTTTGCTCAGTTCGCTTGCAGTTTGGTTTTCCTATTGCCTGTTTCTGCCTTAGTTTGGTATCAGCTGGAACCGTGGGGAGGTCGCTTTCCGGATGCATAAAGACCCTGCCAGAGTTTTTGTTCTGGGAGGTGGAATCCAGGGAATCTTTCTTGATAAGCAGAGCTGCAGAGTGGAACTGGAGAACAACAACTGTTGCCTACTCCCATCTGAAACCTGGAGTGGTTCGGGACAGACCCAGGTGGAGCACCTGAGAGAGGAGGAGGCAGTGTTCACACGTTCTGGGGTCCCCCTTCTGAAACGATGAAATAGGAATTTCCGCTGACAGTCGAAGAGCTCACTTCTGTACTTGCCTACTCAGATGGTAGACCTGATGCTTTTGGAGGGGTTTACTCCAATGTAAATGGACATGCAGCCTAGGTCACATGCAGTTCCCATGTAAATGGAACTGCACCCTAAGACACTTTGGGCAGAATCCGTGCGTCCTTAGATGAGAAAAATCCCCCAATTCTTAGCAATCCATGCTTGGGATTGTAGGACTTCTCCCCATCCAAACCCACATGGAGTTGCCTTCTTGAAACTAGAACGAGGGTTAGTCATTTGGGGGGTGGTTGTACTTCACCTCCAAAGCTTCCCAAAAGAATCACATTGCAAACTCTCTGTTCTGACACAGAATATCAGACCCAGTTTATGATTCTTGTACTCACGTCTTCCAGAGTCCAAAGCGACCCATTTCGTTCCCATCTGGTTTGCGCAGTTGCAAAATCTGCCATCCGGCAGCAGATCTAATGGATGTAACTGTTCTGGTCTGCGGTGTGGCCACAGGGGTCCTCTTACAAGCCCCCCTGCATTGGTGACATTTGCACTGTGAGGAATAGTGGTTAAAGCGGCAGACAAGGAAGGATTGGGTCTCGTCCCGGTTCCAAAGCAGAGCTGCCTGCGCTGTTCCTCACATCTTGTCATCGCCTACACCAAAGGGGTGTTGTGAGACTAAAAATTCAGAAGCACTGCCCTCAGTTCCTTGGAGGCATGCTAAAAGTGTGCTAAAAATATAATAATCACAGGAGACGAGGAAGGACTGGATCACTCATCCACCATCGCCATCGGCTTTCTTGCAAGAAATAGGCCCTTCTTTTTAAATCCGCCACTTGCGGTCGCATGCGGGATGATGTGTTCATTTCGTGTTTATACTGCCCAAAACCCGAAGCGCTCAGGTGACGGGACAGCGTGGGAGACGGGTTGCGCTGCGCCACTAAGAGAAGTAGGGCTGCGTTGCTCACACGGCACGGTTTGCAACGGGGAGCCAAGCTGCAGGGACCACTTCCACAGCTTGGGAGCGACGGAAATCCCTGGAAATGTTTTCTGCATTGCAGCCACTTTTGTGAAGCCGAGGGGCTTGATCTCCTCCGGGGTGAATTCTCAAAGCGCAGGTCTGTAGGGAGCTAAAACATGGAAGAAGGGGTGAACAGTCTGCTGATCAAATTCGCGGATGATACTAAAACTGGAGCAGTGGCCACAACTGAGGAGCAGCTACTCCAGATCCAAAAGGATCTGGACAGACTATGGAAGTGGGCAGGAGACAACAGGATGGTGTTCAATGTGGATAAGTGCAAGGTCTTGCACTTGGGGCATAGGAATAGCTGTCATATGTACAGGTTAGGGGACAAGTGGCTGGAGAGCAGCACTTGTGAAAGGGACCTCGGGGTGCTGGTCGACTGCAGGCTGAACATGAGTCAGCAGTGGGATGCGGTGGTCAAGAGGGCAAACGCCATCCTTGGTTGCATAGCCAGAAGTGTGGCTTCTAGATCAAGAGAGGCATTACTACCACTCTACACGACTCTGTGCGCCTGCAACTGGAGTATTGTGCTCAGTTCTGGGCCCCTCATTACAGGAAGGATATAGCCAGGTTGGAGTCAGTGCAGCGCAGGGCCACAAGGTTGGTGGCCGGTTTGCAGGGGATGCCATATGAGGAGAGACTGAGGGAACTGGGTCTCTTCAAGAGGCGACTCAGAGGGGATCTGTTGGCAACATGTAGGTATGTAAGGGGATGTCACATGGAGATGGGTAGAGACCTGTTCTCCCCTGCAGAGGAAGGCAGGACGCGCTCCAACAGAGCCAAGCTCAGGGAGCCAAGGTTCCATTTGGATGCCAGGAAGCACTTCCTGACAGCCAGGACCCCAGGGGTGTGCAATGGGCTTCCCCAGGAGGTGGTTGAGGCCCCATCAGTGAGGGTGTTCAAAGACAGGCTGGACGTCCACATGGTGGGCATGTTGTGAGCAGAGCCGGCTGGTGCCGGAGGCCAGACTAGATGGCCTGGGAGGCCCCTTCTGACTCACTCCGTTTCTATGTTTCTAAAACTGTCTTCCCAGGTGCGAGGAGGAGGTATAAAATAGGTACAAAATAATCTTTGAGGGGGGGAATTCTGGGAGGGGGCAGGATCCCAAGGACAGCCGAGTGAGGAAATGTGTGTCCTTGGAGGCCAGGAAATGCTGGCTCGTTCTTGAGGTGGGGAGGACACAATGGGGAAAGTGCATGGAATGGAGTATCCTGGAAAAGGGCTTGGAGGCACGGCAGGTTGGCTGGTGTGCTCCATGCTTGCAAACTTGTGGGGGATGACCCTGGAAATATGCTCTAAGGTGGTTCCTCTTTGCTTCTTGGACATGGGCTGGGCACAAAGGCTGAGCCTTCAAACCTTTCTCAAAGGCAGGGAGACGGCACTTTGACAAAATCAGTTTCCTCGATTTTCCCTGCGCGCAGAGTAGATGAGAATTGTTTTTATTGGTAGCTGGAAAAATACGAGAAAGAGAAAGCTTGCAGAGTATAGAAAAGAGTGGTAATTCCTTTTGCAGAAGCTTTTATGAGGCTCTAAAGTTGTAACTGGAATCAAGAATCAGGATTCCCCAGTTTGATCCTGACTTTATAGCATGGAACGGCAATGGTTTCACTGGTTTGGGGACATCAGTTTGGAATATGCTTCAGCACATACATGTTAGATCAAAGCGATTCATCGGGACAGGAGCTGGGAGGCTGGCTTTGCTAACGGACTGACCTGGGCATCTTGTTCCTAAGCCTGCCCAGACCGGGGGAAGGAGGCGTTTCCCATTGCCGGACCTGGAATCTCACCTGGAATGAGGAAACATTGCTTTGTATGCCAGCAACTTGGCCCAAAACAGGAGCTGATGGAAAGATGGATCCCCTTCCCTGCCGAGCAAATACTGAGACAAGCAGGATTGGCTGACAAAACTTTCCTACACTGCCTGTCAGTTACAAAAGGCGTGCCCAGGATGACTTCTGTCAATATAGTCGTGATACAGTGCACAAGAGCATTTAAGGGACATCCTACCCTTAAGACCCCCCAGATAAATAGAATCAACTTTTATGAAAAACCTGGCAGAGCTTAAATGGCCCACCTAAAGGGCAATGGAAATGGAGAAAAGCTAAACTCCTTTGGGAAGGCGTTCCACTGGAAGGGAGCCGCCACCCAAAAGGCCCTGTTTGCATGTTGACTGGTGGGAACTAAGTTCCTTTGTGGTGGGAACTCAGATGAATGTTTTGACACATGAGTGCAGCTACTGGGCATTTGCAACCTGGAAAAAGCGAAGCTGCAAATCTCCTGGTCCCCAGTCATGTCCAGGTCTGAGCCGTTGAAATGGGCTTTGGAGCTTGCTCTTTGGATTGGCCGTTTTTGTCAGGGAAAAGACTGGGTTGAACTGTACCTGCTTGGCTTTCTCTGTTTGACTCAGTTCCCCCAAAACCATCTTGGCCCAATTGAGCCAGTTGTGACCCTCGCAAGGTGGCTGGAGTGTCCCTCAGCCCCAGCCAGCTAAGCCAATGGTCAGAGACAATCTATTTGGACGGAAGAAAATTTTCTAGTCCTCATTATGCTCCTATCTCTTGCTCACCTTAATGCAGGATGTCTGGGTTTTCATTAGTCATGGTTTACTGTTACATCG